AGCCTGGTGCCTGCAGACGCTGTGCCAGGCTGTGCAACCCGTTTCCACCAAGCTAATCCGACCCTCCTCTCAGGTTCCTCCTTCCCGGAACGCCAGAATTGTTCTCCATAATAAATCTATGTTTAGTATGTTTTAAATGAATTCAACCGTACGACTTTCACCACTTCCTTTTCGGGTCTGGTTACGTTACTTCGTTGTATGCCTCAAGTCAGTGTTTTGAAGAAGTTGACTGTACGAAAAGTGTTATTACATAAATTGCTAATTCTAGAGCTCTAAAGACCATTTAGAATTCATCCCACAAAGGACCCTTCAAAACACGACCCTAAGAACAACGTAGTCAACCTTGAGCAAGTACAGAGCAAGTGCAAAAAGGAAGTCTCTTCTCCCTAAACCTCCCCGAATGGTTTTACTTTTGTGAAAATGTTCCAGAAAGAGAAACATGGCCCCTTGTTAAGCACTAACAATACCTCTGCTCCCATATTTAAGGTGCCTCCAAAGGCCAACCTGCCCCCAAAATACACAAATATAAAAATATAAATATAAATAAAAATATAAATATAAACTTAGGTCTCTGCCGTAATCGCTTCTGTTGTGATTTGTTTGGACAGAAATCTGTCAAAGAGGGGAGGAAAGAGAAGAAAAGGTGGTAGAGCTCCCTCCAGGGGCCTCACTCCCAGTGCTGCAGCAAGATCGAGGAGGTAGTTCTTTGGGAAGAGCCAGAAAGCCTCAATGAATGAAGCTACACACACAACGTGTAGTTCTGCCTCGATACCAAGGCCACCGTCTGTGTGTGTCCAGACCAAATCCACTGCACACGGTCTTAACAAAGCCAGGCTCCTTATGGAGCTGTCTCGCAGCCAAGAGGTCTTCTGGCTTCAAATACTAGTAAAAAGCAATCTTTATTAACCACGGTGCAGGGGCCAGAAAAAGAAGTCCACCCTATATCTCCAGATCTTATGCACCCCCCCCCATTTTATTTGTGGCCAGTTCTTAATCACACGGGGCCGTCCCTCTACCGACATGGCCTGATGGTGTACTCAGAGGCAGAGCAAACTACTTTTAGAGCTACTCTGAAATGGTTCGAGGGGTTTCCTCTGAAATTTATCATGTCTCTACGCACATGGCTGCCACGCCCCGGACCCTCGACCTCCACTACCATCTCCCTAGAGCCTGTCACAGAACGAGAAGTTGCCACACATTTGTGGACACGACAGACCAGAGATCTCCCTCTAAAGCGAGTGGAGGGGAATTACATAAGTGGTTGGGTCCCAGTTCCCGGTCAACCACGACAGCCCGCTGAATGCCTGCAGCACGGCCGTGCGTGCAGTTTTATCAGGGACAGGTAGGGCTGGGCTGCAGGAGGCCGCGGGAGACAAGCAGGCACAGCAAAGTGGCACAACACACTTCTAAAGCCACCTGGTAACTAAAAAATACAGAAGAATCAAGTGATGTTCTTCAAGAGAGGGGAGGGCCTATAAATATTTAGGGCCAGAAAGAACTAAAAGAGGGAGAAGTTGGAGATGCCAGGAAAAGAGGTCGTAATTGAAGGGCCCATGTAATGGCAGTGGGTGGAGACAGTAGAGAGCGGACACACGGGGACGTGGCCATGTTCAGGGTGGAGCTCACAGCCTGCACCCAGCGGCAGGTGGGCAAGAGAGAGAGGCCCACAGACGGAAGAGGTCAGCAGTCTGCACACGGCTCCCCAAGCCCCAGCCCAGCCTCCAACCTTGCTGGCCACATGGTGGTGCTGCTCAATAGTCCTACCTACCTGATGTCCCCCATGACTGCTTCTAGTATCTTCTCCTTCTGTCACCAAGCTGAATTTTACAAAACTGCAGGTGTCTGCTTAGACATCAACAACTGCCAGGGAAAGGCCTTTGACAGGTGGCCATGCCTATTCAGAAGCACCTGCTCTGGCCTGCTGCTACCCACCCTCTGTCCCCCACACCCTGTGGCTGTCAAAGTGCCTGACGCATGGCCAGTAGCCCTCCAGAGGGAGGGAGAGTGGGTGCAGATGTTTGCAAAGTGAACAGAAGTATATTTAAGGTTTCTTTTGAAGCACAGCTCAGATCTGGGGTTGTTAAGCACTTTCAGTGTAAGGGGGAGTGAGTAGGGTGCCCCTTAGAGTCCCAGGGACAATGAGCAGTGATAAGGAAGGACTGGGACTCAGCTGGGTAGAGGCAGGAGCCTCTCTCTGAGGAGTAAAAAGCAGACCACAGCTAAGGTGCTACTTTAGCCCTTGGCCTGCCCTAGAAACCTTTGGGCAGAAACGTTCTCTACAAAGGAAGTCTGCTCACTCTTGCTGCCCCCTGAGAACCTGTGTTCACAGCTCTGATGGTGACCTTAGACCCAAGGAAATGAGTTTACCATGAGAAGTAGGGTAACGTCAGCCACACAAGAGACTTGTGTAATTTAGAATGGAAGGCGGCACAGGAACTGGAGGGAGAAGGGTTGGTGGGGTGCCGGTCGCACGGGAACATTTGGTGGACCATTGTCCCCGTCAGAGCAAGCTCGGGACAGCCCAGCCTGCCATCACGGGTGACCATACTATTTGGGGGTTAGGGGGGTTCCCCATCTCCAGAGCCTGGCTGTTGGCAGTTCTGCCTCCCAACTTTCTTTGGGGCCCCAAGTCTCCGCTCATATGACACAACCTTCCTACCCATCCCCAAACCACGTCGGCCATGGCAGTAGCTTATCTCACAGAAAACACGAAGGGGAGATAAAAGCACATTTTCCACATTTCTTCTGCTGTAAGACGAAGGCGAAATATTTTCCAACAGGCATGAGGTAGGGACGCCACAAACAGACAAGAAAAACGCTCCAAAGGTGCCTCTTGGTTTGGCAAGGCTTCTGGACACACAATCTCCTCTGGCTCATTTCTTGAGATGAGGAAAGCAGAAATGTTGGGATTGGCACTTTTATTTCCTATGTGAGGATGTGTAAAGAAGGCAACTTGTTAAAGGCATTTCCACTGAACAAGACTTAAGTGCAGACTGTTTTGTTATCCCGTAACTCAGTCCCAGATTCAGTTTCCCAAATGAGTATGGACCCGAACCCTCTGTCGTGCAAAACCTGTGGACACACGGCCACAGTTTACTCCTACTGTGACTTACAGAAGAGACCATGCTGCTGGACGTATACTGACACTTTTCCTTTTATAAGGGAAGAATCTCTTCCTTTCTAATAATGTTTTCAGGCTTTCCAGCCTATTTGCATAATATTAATATCCCTAAATCAGTTTTATTTTGGTTAATATTTGCCTGGCGGACCTTTCTCTAACAGGTTATATACTTCCAAATTTCCTGGGTATTTATGCATTAGGTGTGCCCTCTGAAAAAAACATACAGCAAGATTTTTAAGAGATAATCAATCTTTTGTCTCTTAACAAAAGTAAAATGGTAAAATCTATTTTGCATTTACTGTAATTACCGATACTTATGAACAAGTTACTACATCTTATTTTGCGATTTCGATCGTGATTTTTGTTTTCCTTGTTTCTTTTGTTTCCACCAGACCCATATGTGTGAATTTTTCTTTTTTTTCAGCCAGTTTTCTGTATTTCCTTCCCTCCTACGCTTACTAGGAAGTGAGGCTTTCCATCCCTATGCTGTCAGTGGCTACTGCACACTTGAGTTTACAAGTGTCAGGTAAGCAGAAGGTCCTGCCACCCTCGGAACCTTCCATCTCCCATGTTAAAGTGTTCTGACACATCAGTCCTGTTCTGCTTTTAACAATCCCCAAACCCACTATCTGCTGTCTACATGGCCAATCCTTTGATTTACAAATACATTTACCAATTTCTATGCTCATTCTTGATCCTAGTTCTTTCTTTTCATACTTCCCTTTTTATTCATTTAACTAACTCATTCAGTACCTATCTGCTGATCACCTAAGTATGCCAGGCACTGCCCTGGGTTGCAGTCATAGAGAAGTGAACAAAACAAAGTCCCTGTTCTCGCGGTGTCTGTGTTACAGTGGGTACTTGTGTTACTAATACTAAACTGCATGCTTTAGTTCTTCTGGTTAAGTATTGGAGTAGCAAACTCTCTCACTCTTGGTCTACACTTTATCCTCATCATTGAATGACAGTTCAGCTGGATCTGGAATTCCAGACTATTCTACCAACTTCCAGAACCTGTGGTTGCTGGTGAGAAGTCGGCTGTCTTTCTAATAGCCCTTCTCACTGGGGTTCTTTGGTCATTTCTCTCTTCTTGATTTTACACTTTGTCTTCGATGTTCCTCAGTTTTGCCACAACGTGCTTCGGTTTGGACGTGTCTTACTAGACGACTTCTTTTTAAAGTAACTTTCCCCACACCTCCTTATAACTTCCATTTAATATGGAACAGACATACACACACGTCATGTTATTGCAATTTCTCCCTCCTTCACTCTGCTTGCAAAAAAAAAAAAAAAAAATCCAAAAAAACACATTTACCAAGTAACAAGTCGTAGGAGTGCCCTGGCCTAGGTGCTTTATATGATGCTACCACATACATACCTGACTTCCTCTCTAGAAGCCTTTACTGTGCCTACTTTCCAGATAAGAAAGTTAATCTTAGAAATGTAAAGAGATTTTTCCAAGTGACACAGCTAGTGAGCATTATAACCAATGCTCCAACTCCACAAATCCCCTGCTCTAAACACACTCCACACCCTGCCGCCTGTTTCTAAACACACACATTGAAGAGAAGTGGATAAGCAGCAAGAAATGCTGGCCCATCGTTACAGAACTGTTACTGCCTGATTATACACTGAAATTTCACAAGCTGTCAATAGACACTGGTACAATGAATACGTCAAAAACATCCGGGACGTCACTTACGATACATCCTTCTGCATAGGCAAGGACAACCTCACGCTCAGATCTGAGCATCACCTCTTCTGAATCACCTTTCAACATATCTAGCCAAGGCTAACTTATCTTGGATATGGTTAAAACTAATTCAAAACCGAGCTCATAGGTATTTAGGGGAGGAACTAATAAAAGCCATTGTTTTACCTGGGCTACTTCTTCAAAATCTTCATGGCGTTTCTGCAAAGCTCTGGCCCGATGAAGTGATTTCCCCACACCCGTATGTTTGCTGAGAAACGCTTCTCCATGATTCTCAATCCAGTCCAGCACCTACAATAAAAGACAGGTACATGTGCCATAAAAACAATGTTCTGCCCTGTTTAATAGTTAGGACTATCCACTGAAGATACACTCTGTTGTCAAAACTATAACAAGACGCAAAGGAGAGGGAAAAAACTAGAAGCAGTTGGACACTAACACATCTGATCAGTTTTCCCACCATGATTTTCAACAGCTCTTACTGTAAAACCGTTAAGTCTGTCTCTGTATAAACATTACGTGCCATAATGATTAAATCTCACCTCATTTTATGCATGACAGAGCCTCCAAAACTGAGTAGGTTTTAGATAAGATAGTGGTTATCAAGCCACAGACAACCAGTTTAGCTTAACATTTTTACAAGGCTCAAAGCTTCACAACTCAGGCAATTCAAGTTTAACTACAGAGTTAATGTTTTTCTGTCTCTTCTTTAGAACCCTGAAAACACAGAAGTAAAACCTAAGAAAACAAAACACTTAAATGCCTCTGTCCCCGTCTTTGAGGATAATTTATTCTGTAAACTACTAAGCTGTTGGGAAAGCTAAACACTCCATGAATTTAATTACTTAAAAGTTCTTGCAGGGGCGCCTGGGTGGCGCAGTCGGTTAAGCGTCCGACTTCAGCCAGGTCACGATCTCACGGTCTGTGAGTTCGAGCCCCGCGTCGGGCTCTGGGCTGATGGCTCAGAGCCTGGAGCCTGTTTCCGATTCTGTGTCTCCCTCTCTCTCTGCCCCTCCCCCATTCATGCTCTGTCTCTCTCTGTCCCAAAAATAAATAAACGTCGAAAAGTTCTTGCAAGTTGACATCCACTATATAAAGAAAGGGAGTACAAGGTAGGCAGTGTGACATGATGTTTTCAAGTTCAGAGTCGGCCTAGAGCATAGTTCATTGGTTCCTATACTTGAAAAACCACAAAGAAACCTGACAATATCTAAAAAAGTACTAACACTACCATCAAATGTACACTTTGCCTCATTTTTTTAGTTTATTTATTTATTTGGGGGGATGGGGCGGAAGGGAGAGGGAAAGAATCTCAAGCAGGCTCCACATTTGTCAGAGCAGAGCTCAACACGGGGCTCAAGCTCACAAACTGTGAGATCATGACCTGAACCAAAATCAAGAGTTGGAGGCTTAACCGACTGAGCCACCCAGGCGCCCGCCCCTGCTTCGCCTCTTTCTGATGGAGAAAAGATAATTAGCAAAAAATAGGTCAGTGACATCTTTCACTAAAAACTAAAACTTTAGATACAAGATATTTAAATATTTGAATACATTTGTTAACGTACTGCTGAAGGCCACTCCCCATACTTCACATTTAGTAACTATGGTAACCAAGAATATGGATCAAAACTATCTGTGACTGAAGAACCAACTGGGAAATGTACCGCCAGAACAGTGGTCTGGAGGAAAACCTAGAAGCAGACTAGTCATGGCACTAATGGCAAAATAAAAGGGGCCTTAACTTGGGCTTCATTGCTATGAAAAGGGTCCCTTGCCCTTTGCTACCTGCACTAGAGATCAGCTGTGCAGACAGATCTCTTAAAAAAAAAAAAAAAAAAAAAAAAAAAAAAAAAAAAAAAAAAGAGGCAGCTGGTAAGGGCCAGTTGTGCAGGGACAACTGGACCTATTATCCATTGCTCCAAACCTGTGACCGTCAGAAGCCAAGGGTCTGACTGAGGGCCCTTTCTTCATAGAGTTTAGCAAAGTTAGTAGCACGTGAACATAAAATAGCTTGCAAACCTGAATAACTCGCTGGCGGCCCTCTTATGTACCCTATAAGATGAGCAGACGTGTATGTACGTGGAGGAGGTGGGGCGAGGCACAGAGGCCAAGCCTTCCAGCAGGTGCTAAAGCTACACATTTACTTTATTACTACAGCTCATTTCTGAGCTCTTTCATCAACACCACCAATCTGCTAGCCACCTGGGGTCACACTATCAGAGCAATTCTTAGTGGATCTACATGTACTCTGTTACCTCACTCCCAGTCCTCCTGAAAGCTCTCGATTCTACCCTTCATTTCTAGCCCCAGCTGCACACCTGGGGTCTAGCTGTGTGTTGTTGGGCAAGTTCTCTATCGTTTCTGGACAAGAAGCTTCCCCAGTGCTCAGTGCTGATAATAATGGGGAGTTGTGAGTATTCAGCGAGATCTCCGTTAAGCACACCAGTACCAACGTGGTGAACACACAGCACGCGTGACATCCGCGCCCTTAAACCACATGGGGCTCCGACTCACAACCAGGAGATCAAGAGTCAAACGCTCTACCGACTGAGTCAGCCAAGTGCCCCTATCCATTGTTTTTTAATTAGTGCGCTTAGCACATTATTTTCCTTTCTTGAGACAAAAGAGAGAAAACACACGTTAGTACTACCATTAGTAAGTAGTGCCACATTCACGCCTGACATCAAGGGTGACATAAGCCGCTGAGTTGTTTACATGAGTCTCTTAATATATATTATCAAACACAGACCCACTCCCAAGAAATGTCCACTGACAACTTCAAGACATTTTAGCCTCAAAGGATGGAATATGCCTCCGGGCAGGAAGCCAAAACCACGCAGAAGACAAGGATCAAATATTTTAAGCTTGAAAAGAACTCAAAGAAATGTAAGTAATACCTATGCTATAGCCAATCTGCCTATCAGATCTGTATGAAGGGCTAAGAGAGTTTTCTTTTTAGCTACAGTATATTCCTTATATTCTTCACCTTTACTGTTAAAAGAAAATCTGGGGCGCCTGGGTGGCACAGTCGGTTAAGCGTCCGACTTCAGCCAGGTCACGATCTCGCGGTCCGTGAGTTCGAGCCCCGCGTCAGGCTCTGGGCTGATGGCTCGGAGCCTGGAGCCTGTTTCCGATTCTGTGTCTCCCTCTCTCTCTGCCCCTCCCCCGTTCATGCTCTGTCTCTCTCTGTCCCAAAAAAAAAAAAAGTTGAAAAAAAAAGAAAATCTGAGGGGTGTCTGGGTGGCTCTGTCAGTTAAGCATCCGACTTTGGCTCAGGTCATGATCTCACGGTTGGTGAGTTCGAGCCCTGCATCGGGCTCTGTGCTGACAGCTTGGAGCCTGGAACCTGCTTCAGATTCTGTGACTCCCTCGCTCTCTGCCCCTCCCCCACACTCTGTCTCTCTCAAATGTTAAAAAAATTAAAGAAAAAAAAGAAAGAAAATTTGAGCCACTAGTAAGCAGCAACCTGATTACTGGTAACTCAATACAGATTTGAAATAAAGGCACAATTTCAAAAAGTAAAAGGTAAACATTATTTGGTAGAAAGGGCTGAGGAAGCAAAATACAGAATTTTAAAAATATAAAAATTTGTTTTTTAAGCCTAAGAAAAGTCAGGAAGCATAACCAACCAACTCAGGGTTACAATTTTTCTTTTATTAGTGGTTCTTTTAGACAGAATTGTAAATACCAGGTGAAGATATATTTCCAACAAACATGAAAATAATTCAAAGAAGGTGTACAAATGCCAAGCACTTAAAAAAAGAAAAAGTGGCACACTTGTGAAATCCAGCTGGTGTTCGAAACCAAATTCCCCCACAAGGCTTTGGCTTCTTTTAGAAGTTGGAGGACATTTCCCAGGTTGCCAAGGAATCCTGAATCAATACACATGTCCAAAGAGCATTTCAAAGACATGCTTGTGGAATCTCTTCCATTTAAAACACAAAAATATTTGCAAATGAGGGGTTTCATCAACTTAGTCCAGCCAGCCGCCTCCCTGACCTGAGCTATGGCCGGCAGCTGTCATTTGTCTTGTGACCCCAACCCTAGAAATCCCTCAAACCCCGGCCCAGGCTTTGCTGCTCTGTGGCTAGACTGCAGGAAAAGGACCCAAGTGACGCCTTCCCACAGTCTACCTGGTCCCTGGGCAGGATAACAAAGCTGGGAGGCCAATGCACCTTGCTCTCGGCTCGGAGGATGTGGTGCGAGCTCATTCCTCTGTACATCGGTGCCCTCTAACGGACACGGTGACAGCCCCAATGTCAAGGTCACTCCGAAGTGAGCCACCAACACAACACAGATAAGGTCTCAGCATCCAAGTCAAAATGTTAGATGTGGAGGAAACCTGACAGATTGTGTAGCTTAACTCCCTGTTTGTAATTAAAGAATAGATCATGATGACAGCAAGTATGATTCTGTTCACTTCTTAATCATCATATCGCGGTTGAAAACCTGCTGTTGCAGCACGCATTGACCTATGTGCACCCTAAGCCATCAATCCACACGGTGAGCTGGGGTAGGGGAGGCACATCATATCCCCATTTCACAGATGAAGACACAGGACCAAGGACCCTCAACTACCAGGTGGAGCCAATCTGGGGACTCAGACCCAGGAAGTCTGGACCGAGGGTCCAATCCCTTAACCTCTGGTCTATATGCCTCTTGAGTTGGCTCAGGTGTAAGACAGGTGGCACAATGAGGTCTGGAAAGAAAGAACTGTTTTTGTTGGTGAATGGCAGTGGGGAGGCTCCTGGACAAATGACCTCTGATGAAATGATAGTGTTATAATGGACAACAAACAGTGCCAACCCTCAGTCAAAGGTCATGGGAACTGGCCACTGGCACCTATCCCCCAACTCACATGGCAGAGTTCTGGCCATTTTGTACAACATGTGATTTTCTGTGACGAGCCCCCACTACCTAATATTCGCAGTTTCACGGTTTACTATTTTTTTTTATTATTACTATTAGAAACAGAGAGAGTGAGTGTGCAAGTGCGAGGGGAGGATGGGCACAGAGAGAGGGAGAGAGAATCCCAAGTGGGTTCCATGCTTAGTGCGGAGCCTGATGTGGGACTTGATCCCACGACCCTGAGATCATGACCTGAGTCAAAATCAAGATTCAGACGCTCAACTGACAGAGCCATCCAGATGTCCCATGGATTGCTATTTCTAATAATGACTGCTTTTTTTTTTTTTAACAATTTGTGAATAAATACTACACCCTCACCAGAAGAAACTGATTCTCATAAACCTATGTCTCAACAACAGGCAACATGAAGACCAATATGAAGA